ACACTCGAAGTGGATTGGTCTCTCTAAGCGAGATCCCAATTCGTCGGTCACCGATGTGACGTCGAGAGTGACCGACTGAAAGGGAACATTATATATATATATATATATATATATATATATATTGTGTACATTAAATTTTTTATATATATTGCACTCAGAAAATATCAGCTGTGCTGTGAAGCACACATGTGCTAAATGTTGGTCTGTTGTTATCAAGCTTTGAAGGTGGAATACAGCAATACTCTGCTGTTAAAATATCTCAATGCTCCTGTGACTCTTTAGAGATGTGCTGTGAGAAACCCAGTCGTGTAACAGACTCCATTAATTATTATCAGTTCACAAACCTCACAATTAATTAAGCAAAGGAATACAGAAATTAAATAGTGCTGTCAGTCAAGTAGTCATTAAAATGCTGATTCAAAGACACAATTAGAAAATTACACAACCCTTAAAAAAGTTTGGGGTCAGTAAGATTATATAAATTAATGAATATTTAAATTAATACATTTATTCAGCAAAGTTTGCACAAAATTGATCAAAATTGACAGTAAAAACAGTTGTAATGTTGCAAAATATTTCTATTTCAAATAAAGGCTGTTCTTTTGAACTTTCTGTTCATCAAATAATCAATCAAAAAAAATGTTCACAAGAATATTAAGTAATTTTCAACAAATTCTTGAGCATCAAATCAGCATATTAGAATGATTTCTGAAGGATCATGTGACACTGAAGACTGGAGTAATGATGCTGAAAATTCAGCTTTGCTATAACAGGAATAAATTACATTTTAAAATATATTAAAATAGAAAACTGTTATTTTAAATTGTTTTTATGTATTTTTGATCAAATAAATGCAGCCCTGGTAAGCATAAGAGACATTTTACAAAAACATTAAAAGGTTTGTTAACCCCACCAACTTTTATAGTGTATATTTACTACAAACAAATTAACCAGTGGTCCCCGGCTCAAATTTTTGATTTTGTCAATATTTTTTTCTGAAGAAAGATAAACATGTATAGTGATGATTTTGTAGAGGGAGGTCAAAATGACAACTTTCACCTGAGATTCGGAGCCAGATTACAGGGGGGTAAAAATGACTTTAGAAAGATGGCAGCATCATTATATTAGTTTTACACAGAGATTAGTAAGTCTATTAGTAAAATCTGTTGACTTTAGCAATATTTGTTGCATTATACACCCATAGTGACCATTCTGCATGCCTGTAACTCAGTAAGTTTTAAGATACCTTAATACTCTTTTAGATTTTGAGCCTTAACAAACTTTCCTTTTGGCTTTCATCACTGTACATGTTTATCTGTCTAAAATATTGACAAAATCAAAAATTTGTGCTGGAGAAATTTCTGAAATTTGGTTGATTTGACACGGAATGACCTAGTTTTTTTTCTGTCCCCCCTCTTTTTAGCATTTGTAAAACTTTGCATTCAACACATTCATTCATCAGTGCATTTTGATCTGATTGATTAATATTACTGTGTGCTAATACGTGGGTGGTCAGTGCTGGGGTTGGCAGTGAGGTCTCTAAAGACCACATGGTTGCATCTCATCTACAGCAGCATGGCATCCTCCAGGCATCCAGATGGAGTATGCTAACATGTCTGCTGTGCCCTCTCACTCAAAATGCGTGGCATTATGAGTTGAATGCGATTGAGATTGCATTGGGGAGATCAGTTCACTCCGGTCAGACCGAATTCAGTGTAAGTGTGTGGCTTATGTAAGTTGTCATGTCTTTTTGATGTCCTTCCCTCTAGCCCTTGCATCCTTGTCCTGACTAAGAGAAAAACACATGGCTTTATGCTGAAGGTCATGGCAGACCAACACACAACTCTATTGCATAATCACAACAACTTATGCTTTTTCTGCCCTTCCTCAGCCTCTTCTTCACACACACACACACACACACACACACACACACACACACAAAACATACACACTTTCACACCCTTCTTCTTCTCTCCTTTCTCTTGTCATGCTTCCCACTGGGAACAATCCAATTCTGTGCCACAGATTTCTAAAACTGCAGCCCACATTTTGTGTTCAACATTAGGCACTTTCTCACACTCCCTTTTTCAGTTCTACACTGACAAAATAATACTCTTAAACTGTACTGTATCTTTGCCTTTTTGTTGTAAAAAATATCTAAACGTTAAAACTTTTTTTTTTTTACATTAACTTAGAACTTTACTTTACTTTACTTAGGTACATTCTCGGAAAACAAGTCTTAAAAGTGTCAATTGTTGATAACCAAACAGTTGACTGCAGCCATTGACTTCCATAGTATTTTTTTTTTCCATACTACGACAGTCAATGGCTACAGTCAACTGTTTGGTTATCAACATTCTTCAAAATATCTTCTTTTGCACTCAACAGAATTTTAAATTTTTGGGTTAACTATCCCTTTAGTCTTTGGATGAGCTGTCTCTAAACTCAAGTTTACTGAAACTAAACTGAAAAAGGCTTGTTCTAAAATTCTTTGATTCTGATATCAGAAACATATTTACATCCCGATGGCAAAGCTTCTGTGTATTAATCCATATGGAAATGAACTCAAACACCAAACTGTAGCTATAAACTGCTCAAATAATCCACTACTCAGCACCACTCTGCTCACGTGGGCAGTGTGAATAACCTGTTCATATGGACACGGAAATAAATACACACCGCTTACGTGCAGCTTTGCAGTGCAGTGTGAAAAATGTTGAAGGGTCAAAGAGCGGGTGGAAAATTATATAAAACAGGTTTTTAAGTATAACAATATATCCACAATACTGTATTCACAATACAGCACACCTTGAGTACTTTATTGCTTTTATAAAATGGTTACAAATAGGGATGCACCGATACCACTTTTTTCAGTACTTGCCCGATACAGATACTTTTATTTTTGGTACTTGCCGATACCGAGTACCGATACCAATATTTTTATTGCATTTGTACATTTTTTAAATATTGGGTACAGGAACAAAAAAAGTATGTATAATGTTAGTTGGTTAACTTCATTTATCAAATAGATACAGTCAAACCAAAATTTATTCAGACACCTTCAACATTTCTCACATTATCACAGTTTATTCGCTATAGTTTAGAAAATGGTAATAAAATATAACAAGAACTCACGAGTTAAACTGTGCCAGAACAAATTCAGCTTGATAATGTGTAGCGAATCAGCTCATTCATGGGGAAATATGAATAATTAATATCCCTAATTACAAATATTAAAACCAAAGATATACATATTAATATGTAAATATTTTAAGTTCAGTCATTAAATCCCACCCTTCATCAAAAAAAAAAAAAAAAAACACGCAGTATCATGCCGCATCTGATGGAGCCCAAATACAGCTCTGGTATAAAATTAAGAAACCACTCCAAATTTTTCAGCATCTCTACATGTATCGCAGCCATTCAATTCCAGTGTCTGTTGAATTCCAACTCAGGCACACCCTATTCTGCTTAATAAAGTACTGATTAGGTCATCATCTCATCCAAATGTTATTTAACAAGAAAAAGTATAAAAACCACTGCTGTGGTCATTACTCTTGCAATAGGGCCAGCTGGATGGCAAAAATAGTGCTAAAAGTACCTCAAAAGTAAGGTACTCAAAAGTAAGTATGTTCTTCTAATTTCCCTCCTAGCCTCCCTCTCCCACCTCCTCTCCTAGAACCAGCCAGTTCCTCAGCTATGCCTCCATTGGTTCCTGTCAGTCCCTCAGCTCACCCTCAGTCAGCACCATCCGGGCGCTCTGATTCGCCTCGGGCTTTCCAGTCTCCAGCTCTGCCTAGGCATGAGGATCCCATCTCCGCCTCCAGCCTTCGAGTCCCGGACTCCACCTAGGTCCTCCGACCCATCGGCTCCACCTTGGCTCCTTGCTCCCTTTTCTCCACCCGGGGCCCATCATCCCACTGGCTCCACCGGCCTCCCTCGTCTCTCCATCTCCACCTTGGTAAGTCATCGACTTTCCTCCGCTACGGGATTCCACTCCTCCAGCTTCGCCTCATCCCTCTGGCTGGCTTCTTCTTTCCTCCGGCTCCACCGTTGTCCTCAGTCGCTTCAGCTCCGCCACGGTCTTCCGGGTCCCCGTCTCCGCCTCGCACGCATGAGCCATCTGCTCTGCCCTCTGGACCTCGGTTGTCACCCTAGCTCTCCGTCTGCTCGGCTTCACCTGGGTCTCCACCTCCAGTGGCTCCGTGTCCATTGCTTGTCCCCAAGGTGTCGTCTGCCAAGTTTTCACCATGGCTCCTCCCTCCCTCGACTCCACCCTGGGGCCTCGTCCTGGCTGGTCTCTGGACCAACATCTGGCTTCTCCTGCTCCTGGCTGCTCCATGCCTTCTCCCACCGTCAGCTCCACCTTGGTCTCTCAATCCACCTTCTCCCCTGGTTCCCTGTCCTGCATGTCCTCCGTGTCCTCCTTCAGAGTCCCCTCCCTCTCACCTCAGATAGGCTCTTTGCAGTGCGAGGACGTGCCTTCTGGGAGGGGGAGATACTGTAACAGTTATGGACTTTTTGTTGTGTTTCTCTTTCTTCCTGTTCACTTGCTCGGTTTAGTTCCGTTGCACTAGTTTCTGATCAGCCCTGATTTGTTTATATGGTTACTTATGATAGGCAACTGTCACTCATTCTTTAGTTTCCTTATTTATACTCCCTGTTCCGTTCAGTCGCTGTCGGTTATTTGCTGTACCATTGTGTGTGCTACATTTGCTCCTGCAATTCTCATGTGTGTATTCCTTGTGGATTTATAAGTAAGAGACTATTTTTGGATAATACTCCTTCGTCGTGTTCTTTAAATAGCACAACACATTACAACAGTGAACATCGGGTTGCTTAAAATCTTTAAAATTTCCATTTCCTAGTCAGGGGTTAATAAGTACAAGGTGAAGCTGTAGACATTGGGGACAACAAAGCTACAGACTGGCTGAGGGTGAAAACAACAATCCACTGACCGGGATGACCGCCAACTCATTCGAATATCACTCAACAACTGTGGGATGACATCAAGAGATCTTACAAAAAAAAAGGCCAACAGCAGCTGGGGGGAAGTGCACGGCGAGGACAGTTCGAAACAGGCTTTTTGGGCAGGGCAAAAGTCATGCAAAGCTAGAAAAATGCCCTTCATCAATGAGAAGCAAAGAAAAGCCAGGCTAAGGTGTGCAAAAGATCATAAGGATTGGACCATCTCTGATAAATCCAATTTTCAGCTTAGCCCAAAATCTGGTCATCTAATGGTTAGACGGAGACCTGGAGAGGCCTACAAGCCACAGTGTCTTGCACCCACTGTGAAATTTGGTGGAGGATCAGTGATGATCTGGGGGTGCTTCAGCAAGGTTGGAATCGGGCACATACGTCTTTGTGAAGGGCGCATGAATCAAGCCATGTACAAGGTTGTCCTGGAAGAAAACTTGCTTCCTTCTGCTCTGACAATGTTTTTTTCAGAAGGACAATGCTCCATGCCACACAGCCAGGTCAATCAAGGTGTGAATGGCGGACCACCAGATCAAGACCCTGTCATGGCCAGCCCAATCTCCAGACCTGAACCCCACTGTAAACCTCTGGAATGTAATCAAGAGGAAGATGGATGGTCACAAGCCATCAAACAAAGCTGAGCTGATTGAATTGTTGCACCAGGAGTGGCATAAAGTTACCCAACAGCAATGTGAAAAGCTGGTGGAGAGCATGTCAAAACACATGAAAGCTGTGATTGAAAATCAGGGTTATTTCACCAAATATTGATTTCTGAACTCTTCGTATAGTCAAAACATTAGTACTATGTTGTTTAAAAATGAATATGAACTTGTTTTCTATGCATTATTTTTAGCAGTTGTCATTTTCTGCAAATTAATGCTCTAAATCAGTGGTTCCCAACCCTGGTCCTGGAGGCACCCAACACTGCACATTTTGCATGTCTCCTTTCTCTGCCGCACCAATTTCAGGTCTTGAAGTCTCTACTAATGAGCTGATGACCTGAATCAGGTGTGTTTGATTAAGGAGACATGCAAAATGTGTAGTGTTGGGGTGCCTCCAGGACCAGGGTTGATAACCACTGCTCTAAATGACAATATGTTTATTTGGAATTTGGAAGAAATGTTGACAGAAGTTTATAGATGAAAACAAAAATGTTCATATTACTCAAACACATACCTATAAATAGTAAAACCAGAGAAACTGATCATTTTTAATAAAAGAGAAAAGAGACTCAGCATGAGAAAATGCTTGCTTTCTGTCTTTTATTTTAAAGCAGAACAGTTCACGGCATAGTGCCAATCTGCCTAATAAGAATAAAGTGTTTGATTTTACACATGCACACATCAACGTATCTCATATGAGAAGACTTCTCTGATTTTCTTTCAAGATTTTTCTGTCATATTGACCCATAATATGTTCGCAGGTCAATGCCAAGAAACCACTGATCATATTTCAGATCATAAAACAAAATGTCAGCACTTTACCACCTCTCTAGGTGAATGAGGTAAACATGAACCATGAAATTATAAATGAAGTATATCGGCTAGAAGATTTCTCTAGTGGGCATTACAGTCCTAAGCTCATCTGCACTGGGAGCTCAAGAGACCAAAGACAGCAGGAGCAGAATAATGCAGGGATGGTGTTATGTTCACAGTAGAATGTCTGGTATATGACTGCATTTATGTAACATTATGGTCCTTTCATAAGACTTGCATCAGGATTTCAATGCATGGCTCAACACAAGCCTTGCTTTGGCCGTCACATAAAAAAGCACTTGATAGGGTAAAATGAGGTTGCTAAGAAGCAAGAAAGCAGGAAGTATACACAGTTACATGCATTTGAGCTTAGAAATAAGTCTTTCTTTTGATTCTCAAAACCTTGATTTTGATGAATTTATATTAGTTCAGGCAACCATGACAACAGGTTCAAGACTCATTTCAGGTTGGTCAGCAGCAGGCAATGTCAAAGTTTAGTTTATACTCTCAACTTCTTCACAGTGTGATTACTGTACACATAAATAAACAGCACTTGCAACAGCATTTACAGAAACACAAGCACTTAATTTAGATCTCTCAGCAACAAGGATGAAATGTGTATGAAGAGAAGGTCACTCCTACCCACACATCCAGCAGCACACAAGAAACACACTCACAAATACACAGAGAAGCTTCTAGGAAGCTGATTCTAATAAACACAAGTCCTGATTTGTTTCACTGAATATGTCATGACTTCCAAGAAGAGCACAAATAGTTCAATGAATCAAATGTGATGAATCTAATAATTTCCTGATGATTCTCACAACCACAGCTCAATATTAGAGACAAAAAATATATAGTACATACAGTGGGGTTTAAAAGTCGGATCTAGATTTTTTTCCATTTAAACCTGTAAATAAACAATGTTTTAGAATTATGAAATAAAGGAAATTATAATGTAGAATGAATAAGAGATTCTGCAAATGGTTATCAATAGTGGTCGACCGATATATCGCCAAGGCCGATATATCGGCCGATATTTTGCATTTTTCAAATATCGGCATCGGCCGAAAATTTTTTCTGCTTGGCCGATGTGTTTGAGGAGGGACTTTTATTGTGACGGCGCTGAGAACGGCAGCGCCTGAGCACACAGTGCTCACATTCTCCCTCTTGTTTACTGTTGTTGTTAACAGTTCTGTCTAATACAGATAGAAGTGATTTCAAATTATGCTGCGCTTTATGCATTTGCCCACTCTCATATTCATGTCATGTTCTCTGTGTGCTGTATGTAAAATGAGTGTTACCCTGGCTTTATTTGAAAAATATGATTCCCAATGCACACAAACTTCCCAGAATACTGAGTGCCCTGTTGGTTACAGTGTTTACTTCCTTTTTAATTATAATTTTATTAAATGTTTATTTATTTGTGAAAAATACTTTGTCATCTAAAGTATAAGTATGTTTATTTTACACATTTATTTTGTAATCCATTGTCAAATGATTTCAAATTTCTTAAATATTAATTAAAATTAAAAACAAATTATATCGGCTTTATATCGGCCCCCCTGCTTTCCAAGATATCGGCATCGGCAGTCAAAAAACATATCGGTCGACAACTAGTTATCAAATGCTTTGCTGACATTGATCATGTGAACTCTTTGTACAGATTGTCAGATGTTCTTGCTTCCATTAAAGCTCAAGACACTCTTTGGATCATCTCAAATCAAGCTGAACATGATCATCAGGTTTTACACAAACTTGTGGAGTTCATGCGGCTTGAGTGCTGCTGTCATTAAATTAAAATGAAGACAAACCGAATACTAACACAACATGATTTTTTTCCCTTTCAATTTCTTTCATCTTGATTCATAATGTAGGTAATATACTTTGTAATTAAAAATGTTGTATTAAGTTACATTTTCAGACTCTGTTCCACTGTTTGTACCACTAATGTAAATATTCTGTAATCTGTTACATACATACCTAAATAAAGCATTGTGTTATTGCTTAGATATACCTGAATTACATACACTTTCAGGAAGAATAACTAATACGGCTCACTACGTCACAGAGTTGAGTGCAAAACCAAGTTTAGAAGACACTGCAGTCCTGTATAATGCTACTGTTTTGAAGCAAGAACACAGGCAGCATGTAAAGCAGCAGAAACTGTCAGGATGTCTTGGTCAAAGCATCTGTAAATATCACTGTGATGATTTAACCCTCTAAGAGTACATGTATCTGTCACAATACGGCTTGCTGGGTTGCCACTCCCTGCAATGATGTGAGGCGACAGGGATTTTAGAGACTAAAAATGACACAGAGACAGAAAAATGGGAAGTTAGCAAACTGAGGGAGAAATGTTGAATGGTGCACTGTTAGTAAATACGTTCATAATGTTCTTTTGAACTTTCTATCCATCAAAGAATCCTAACAAAAAATCATGGTTTCCAGTATATTACTATATTAAGCAGCACACGTTACACTGGAGACTGCTGCAGAAAATTCAGCTTACACACTAAACAAAATTATAAACGCAACACTTTTGTTTTTGCCCCCATTTTTCATGAGCTGAACTCAAAGATCTAAGACTTTTTCTATGTACACAAAAGGCCTATTTCTCTCAAATATTGTTCAACAATCTGTCTAAATCTGTGTTAGTGAGCACTTCTCCTTGCCGAGACAATTTATCCACCTCACAGGTGTGGCATATCAAGATGCTGATTAGACAGCATGATTATTGCACAGGTGTGCCTTAGGCTGGCCACAATAAAAGGCCAGTCTAAAATGTGCAGTTTTACTGTATTGGGGGGTCTGGGGGGGTCCGAAAACCAGTCAGTATCTGGTGTGACCACCATTTGCCTCACACAGTGCAACACATCTCCTTCGCATACACTCTAAAAAATGCTGGGTTGTTTCAACCCAACTTTGGGTCAAATATGGACTAACCCAACTTTTGGGTTAAAAATGTAATTAAAAAATTTAACCCAACAGCTGGGTTAGACCATATTTGACCCAAAGTTGGGTTGAAACAACCCAGCATTTTTTAGAGTGTATATTCCGCAGACTTAGGGTGTCCTTAGAGGGGTGCTAGCTCACATCCTCATCTTCTCAGAATCTAACAGAACAGCAGATTGACTGGTTATGTGTTGGAGCCCACCGGGCACGCCCGCATCGGTTCAGGCTCTCTACACGTCCCGCGATCAGAAGGTTTTAGCAGAAGACTTAGCAGAAGAAAAAAACAACAACATCGGCGGAACTGTGCGTGAGCCTTTTTAAGGTCTGAGAAGATTCACGCCTCTCAGGATGGGCTTGTCCAATGAGAAAGGCTGAAATTCCAAGCGGGAGGTTGGAAATATTGGGGAGTTTTATGACCCTTTGTGTGAGAGCATGGTAATTTGCATATGGAACTTGAATCAAAATTACTAAAGATTCTTAGAACACTAATATATTGCCTATGTACCAACATCTTCTTCCTGGTTTGAAGAGTGAGGAATTCCAAAGATGTTCTGACTCGATGGTGATTGGGAGTTTCTTCCCAGTGGAAAGTGAAAAAGTGTGTTTTTTTGAACATTAAAGCATGTCAACATATTCTGTTACACCAAATACACAAAATAATGATCTTTAAAAAAGCATCATATGACCCCTTTAAATCAAATGAAAAATGGTGTGTCTGATTGGTCCAGACGCTACACCTATAAAACGTCTAATTGTTAAAAAAACTGAAGCGTAATCCAGAGGCAGCAAACACCTGTGAAATGGCATGTATATATGGACAAGTACACTTGTAAATGTACTTCACACCTACAGGACAAACTTGCCTCATACAAGCTTCTCCTGAGCCTCATGAGAAATGCCATCTGTCAGAGTCGTTAAAAGTTGACATAACCTTTTACTCATTTCCACTTCTGGGTCCTGGGAGATCTGGGAAGGACGTGACAGATAGTGCAAGCTTTGGCACATCCTTCAATCTCTCCAGTTGACCCAGATAACACAGACCATGAGCTGCACTGATTGAAAAATCCTACAAGGCTCCTAAAACGATCAAGAAATGTGAAAAAAAACCTTACTAGATAATTACATCTCACTTTTGCACTCTAACCAATTACTTTCAGCTAGCTTGGGTAGTAATACTATTTATTACTGTCACATTTGGCGGAAACATAGTATAGAATTAGTTTATAATTAGAATAATCGAGCTTTTAAGGAAAATAAATGGCAAGAGAAGAGTTTCATAATGTCTTTCTAACATCACAGATCTTCTGTTTTCAAATCTGTGATGCACAGCAGGCAAAGGCCTGATGAGATAAGCCACAGGAAAGAGCCCTTAGTGACAAGGTCACAGGACAGACAGATGTGATGTCAAGAGCACACAATCCATTCTCATAAAGCTGGAGAAGACTGCTCCAATGAACAGCTATTGATCCAGGCTTTTGGCTTTTGTTTCCTTTTAAATCAAGAGGACTTTCATGCTTTGAAGCCTCAGTGTTCTTTCTTCTTTCCAGCAACCCATTTAAAATGAGACAAGCACTTGCACTTAAATAATCAAGGATTAAAATAATAAAGATTATTTACTTTAACTGTGGATATTACTGGTGTAATTAATATTTGGAATGATGATTACCATTGTGCTTATAAAGTGCACTGAAATAACCAACAGAGAAAAGAACAACAAATCAAATCAAACAGTAAAAAAAATAAATAAAATACAATAGCAGAAAGGCACCCAATTATGTCATAATGAAATAATGAAGCTAAAGTGAGAAACAAATAAAGTGAGGCAAATTAATGCAACGGCTGAGTTGTTACTTCTATAGTCTCTTGTGCATATTAATGTGTAACAACGTTCGTAGTCACGGGAAGAAGGAGGCGGGAACCGGCGAACATTTAAACCAAACTTTAATAAAATAAACAAACACAAAACGAAAGTAAAGCGGCAGCCCCTCGCGGACGACTGCCGCACACAAAACACAAAATAAAATTCAGGCCTGGTCCTCTCTCGTCCAACACTGTCGTTACTCCTCCTTTTATTCTTCCAGAGCTCCCATTAGCATTTACTCCACCGGCCTTGCTCCGTTCCCACGGCTCTCGGCCCCGCCCC